GCTCTCTTCCTCTCTCCTTGACTTCTCTCCGCACAAAAGGATCCCTCCTCTCTGTGGGACCGCAGCTTTTCTCTTTTCCAATTCATGTCTCTGAACCTTGCATCTGCTACTTTCTCTTCCTCCAATTGTGCAGATTATTTTCTTAATCCTCAGATTGACTTCCTAGTTGTTCAAAATGATTTGATATTAACCTAGCTGTGTTCAAAGAATGAGGCAACCCTTAGGTCTCCTTACCTTTCTGCATCTTAACTCCTCCTCTCCACCACTTTGTTATCCATTCATCAGTCCATGGATGTTTGGGTTCTTTGCATAATTTAGCTATTGTTGTTAATGCTGCTATAAACATTGGGGTGCTTGTATTCCTTCAAATTAGCATTTTTGTATCCTTTGAGTATATAACTAGTAGTGCAATTGTTGGATAATAGGGTAGTTCTATTTTTAATTTTTTGGGGAATCCTCATACTGTTTTTCAAATTGGTTGCATCAGTTTGCGTTCCCACAACAATGTAAGAGGATTCTACTTTTCCCACATCCTCACCAATATCTGTTCTTTTTAATTTTTTTAAGATTTTATTTATTCATGAGAGACAAAGAAAGAGAAGCAGGCTCCATGCAGAGAGACCAATGTGGGGCTTGATCTCGGGACTCCAGGATTGTACCCTGGACTGAAGGGAGCCTCTCAACTGCTGAGCTACCCAGGCATCCCTGTTATTTCTTGTATTGTTGATTTTAGCCATTCTGACTAATGAGAGCCACTCTCATTAGTGTTTTGTTTTAGAGTCTTAAGAGGGAAGTACATAGCAATACAGACCTATCTCAAGAAGCAAGAAAAGCACCAAACCCAAATAAATACAATCATGAATAAAAGAGGAGAGATCATAACCAACACCACAGAAATACAAACAATTATACAAGAATATTATGAGCAACTATATGCTAACAAATTGGGCAATCTGGAAGAGATTGATAAATTCCTGGAAACATATATATAAACTATCAATACTGAAACAGGAAGAAACAGAAAATTTCAATAGACTCATAACCAGTAAAGACATTGCATCAGTAATCAGAAATCTCCCAAAAAACCAAAGTCCAGATCCAGATGGCTTCCCAGGGACATTCTACCAAACATACAAAGCAGAGTTAATACGTATTCCTCTCAAACTGTTCCACAAAATAGAAATGGAAGGAAAACTTCCAAACTCATTCCACAAGGCCAGCATTACCTTGATTCAAAAACTAGATAAAGACCCCACTAAAAGGGAATATTACAGACCAATAACCCTGATAAACACAAAAGCAAAAATTCTTAATAAAATACTAACAAATCAAATCCAACAGTACATTAAAATTAAAAAGAATTGAAGGTAGGCATAAACCTACTTGTGAAACGCTATGCCTACCTTCTGGAAAAAGTAACCACTCTGGAAAACAGTATGGAGTTTCCTCAGAAAGTTAAAAATAGAACTACCATATGATCCAGCAATTGTACTACTAGGTATTTACCCAAAGGATATAAAAATACTGATTCAAAGGGGCACATGCACCTATTGTTTGTAGCAGGATTATCAACAACAACCAAATTATGGAAAGAGCCCAAATATCCATCGACTGATTGAAGGATAAAGGAGAGGTGGTATACACACACACACACACACACACACACACACACACACACACTGGAATATTATTCAGCCATCAAAAAGAATGAAATCTTGCTATTTTCAATGATGTGGATAGAGTTAGATTATGGTAAGTGAAATGAGTCATTCAGAAAAAGAAAAATACTACATAATTTCACTCATATGTGGAATTTAAGACATAGATAAACATGGGAGAGAGGAAGAAAAAAGAATGGGAGACAAAACATAAGAGGCTATTAACTATAGAGAACAAATTGAGGGTTTCTGGAGAGGAGGTAAGCAAAGGAGGGGCTAAATGGGTGATGGATGTTAAGGAGAGCATATGTCGTGGTGAGTACTGGGTGTAATATGTAAGTGATAAATCACTAAATTCTACTTTTGAAATCAATAGTACACTACAATAGTACACTATATGTTAAGCATTAGAATTTAAAGAAAAACTTCAAAAAATAGAATTAAAGACAGACTTTGTTACAAGCCATTATAGTAAACCAAGATTTTTAGCTATCATAGGAAGCCTACAATCTTACTGTGAGACCTCCCTTAGTAATGGGGGATCTGAGGTTTCATTGAGAAAAGTGATATTTATGTTGGGACCAGAAGTTTGAGCTGAAGCTGAAAAAGGTAGAGAGTTTTGTACAGAAGGGAGGATAATGAGTCCAGTAATAGGAAGTTTACTTACAGTATCTTTGTTAATGTATCTCAGGAGTAACTGTTTTTCTCCCAACAGTGTTACTTGGTTTTCTCTTCATATTACCTTAATGGAGACAAATGTTGTAATAGTTCTTTAATGTTTAAATGATCTTTTCCTGAGTATGACTCTTCAGCCAGTTGTTCAACATCCCAACATTTTTAGTCAAGAACACATAATTCTTTTTAATGTATATTTGGTTTTAGTATATGAAGCCAAAGATAGTATTGTCTAAAGGCTGTCATAACTTTACAATTTAGAATCATGACAAGAAAAGATAATCTTTTTGTGGGAATTCATCTGCTCTCTACATTTCTGAGGTCGCTTTAGTTTTTCAGTCTCCTTGCAGAAATTCTGAGTTGCACAGAAATACATAAAAATCACCATTTCCTGGTCTTAAAAATTTACCAACTCTACTAAAAATTTCCTGAGAAAATAAGAGCTATTTGTTGAGTGCTTCCCAAGTCCAGATACTGTGTTAAATGCATATTAGGAATTATATCTCATTTAATCATCTCAGAAACACTGTGAGATAAGTAATATTTCTATCCTTTTCCTTTAGATGAGGATGCTGAAAGTATTCAAGCACTCAAGGTCTCAGAGCTAGAAGAGGCTAACGAGAATTTGACCTTAAAAGTGTCTGACTTAATAGTTCAAATTCCTAACTTCATATTGCTAAGAGAACTAAAGGTGATATACTAACATGTTGAGACAATCTCAGATCCTCTTCACAGATTTTGTCCATTATTAACAATATTCTTTGTTATATTTAATAAAAATAATTCATTTCATTTTTATTATGCTGAAGCTCATGAATAAATAAAAACTAAAATATTAATGGAGTAAATAAGACAAGCCCTTTATTGTTGGTGAGATGGCTGTGTTTTGGAGAAGTTTTTGACAATATATATATGAAAACAAAATTCACTTGCTTCTTGACTTAGCAGTTCTACTTTTAAGAATTTATCCTCCAGCTAATTTGTTCATGCATGCAAGATATGTGTCATTCTTTGTGTACTGTTTGAAGTAGGAAAAAGTTGGAAATGATGTATGTATTTAATAGAGGCCTGGTAAAATAAGTTATAGTATATCAATAAAATGTAACTTTACTCAAGTAAAGAAAACTGCCTATCAAGTCTTTACTAAGCTCAAAGCTCTGTTCTTATTTAATTTTCATAAAAATAATAGGTACTGTTATTATTAGATCTATTTAGAGGAAATATAAGGTGTAAAGAAGTTAAGTGACTTGTTTGAGGTAGTAGGGCAGATACTGAAGCAGAACAGCTTCAGAACCTGTACTGTTATTACTATGCATCTTTTAATGTTTCCTGGTCACTTATATCCATCCCAATGTGAAAAGAAAATAAATTGATAAATTAAAAGGCAAATTATAGAAAGTTTTTATAGTATGATAATATTTGTGAAAAGGATCTATACCTGTATCTTTTGTATGTTCCATTTATAACATATAAAATGTCTCTGTTTTCCTATGACAGAAAATCTTTCTTTATATATTAACATATATGAATATGTGAACATATTCATAAAAATAGATTTAAATATATACATAAATCTTTATATACAAATTTATACATATAAATATATATATACATATGCACACATAAAACATACATTCATGGAAAAATTTCTGGGTGGATATACAAGAATTCAGTGAATATTTTTGGGTGACTCATATGGAGACTTCATAAAGAATTTTTTTCACTTTATACTCTTCAGTATGGAGAATTATTTAAAAGTAATGAGCACATATTGTTTTCATAATAAGTTTAAATTGAAAAACTTAAAAAGTAGTGGATATGATAATTCTTTAACAATTATGTTACTGGAGAGGGATAAAGAAGAACTTTTTCATTTTATACCCTTCTGAACTGTGAACTTTTTTATTTTTATTTATTGAGAGAGTGTGAGAGAGAGAGCACAGGTGGAGGGGAGGGGCAGAGGGAGAGAGCGAAGCAGACTCTTTGCTGAGCAGGGAGCCCGACATGGGGCTTGGTACCATGACCCTGGGACCATGACCTGAGCTGAAGGCAGATCCTTAACCATTGAACCTCACAGGTGCCCTTGAATTGTGAACTTTTATAAAATGAATGAGTACACATTTCTTTTGTCATGAAATGTATTTTCAATGAAAAAATCTTGAAAATTGTAGGTGTATTTCTCTAACAATTATGTACTATGAAATATGATTTTTATAACTAAGTTTAGAATAAATCTGCCTATGTTAAACTTTTATCAGAGAGTTCCTGTATCAAAGGCTAGTTCTTTCTAACACTGACTTGGAAAGTAACTCAATGAAGATTTATTACTTTTATAAACAAGATTGTTTCCAATTGAAGTCTTAGTAATGAAACCTTTCACAGTAAATGAGATTCAGCAAATGCAGAACTTGACAGCAATTTTGCTAGATGTTGCTAGTCATTTGAGCATAGTTCTCTTGCAGGAAAATGCTTCCCAAACTCCAGAGCATTTATCAAAAACAAATGTTGATTTTAAACTCTATTGTTTATTAAGAGACAATGTTCTAGTGTAACTGACACTATTTTAATATTATGTTTAGTCATAGAATGTATTTGGAATTAGGTTTATAAATGCTTAACAGGTATAGCTGAAACTTAAAGTATATTATTTTGGATTGTGTTTTTCAGGTGAAGCTCTGAAAGTATCAGCTGAGAGATTTGCAGATGATCCCTGTTATCTTCCCAAAAGGGAAGCTGTGGTTCAAGCTGCCCGTGCCTTGTTGGCTGCAGTTACCAGACTCCTTATCCTCGCAGATATGATAGATGTCATGTGTCTCTTGCAGCACGTGTCAGCTGTAAGTAAAAGATGGCTAGTTTACCTTGGTGGTGTTCTCACTTCTAATTCCATTTTCTGAAACTGGAATCAATCCTAAAGTGCCATCCCAGACTCGCCCTCATTTCTTAATGTCACCCAGCAGAAGCTGACTTGATTGGATTGTGCAACTCTTATATACTTCAAAAGAACAAAGCCAGAAGTTAGTCTTTTGTTTATTCATTTGTTTTATTTTTTAAAATTTAAAAATATAAAAATGTTTTAAAGTTTTAATTTAAATCCCAGTTTACATATAGTGTAACATTAGTTTCAGGCATACAATTTAGTCATTCAACACTTACATACAGTACCTGGTGTTCATCACAAGTGCATTCCTTTTTTTTTTTTTTTTAAACAAATGCACTCCTTAATTCCCATCTCCATACCCACCATCCCTCTGCTAACCATCAGTTTGCTCTCTTCAGTTAAGACTCTGTTTCTTGGTTTACATCTCTCTCTTTTTTCCCCCTTTGTTGATTTGTTTTATTTCTTAAATTCCACATATGAGTGAAATCATATGGTATTTGTCTTTCTCTGACTGACTTATTTCATTTAGCATCATACCCTCTAGTTTTATCCATGTTGTTGCAAATGGCAAGATTTTATTCTTTTCTTTGGCTGACTAATATTCCATTGTATTTACAGACCAAATCTATATCCATTTATTAGTTGATGGACATTTTGGGCTTTTTCCATAATTTGGCTATTATTGATAATGCTGCTATAAATGTTGAGGTGCATATATCCCTTTGAATTAGTATTGTATTCTTTGGGTAAATACCTAGTAGTAGGATTGCTGGATCATAGGGTGGTTCTATTTTTAACTTTTTGAGGAAGCTCCATACTGTTTCCAGAGTGGCTGCACCAGTTTGCATTCTCACTAACAGTGCAGGAGGGTTCCCTTTTTCTGCATCCTTGCCAAACCTGCTGTTTCTTGAGTTGCTGATTTTAGCCATTTTGACAGGTGGGAGGGGATAGCTTATTGCAGTTTTGATTTGTATTTCCCTGATGATGAGTGACATTGAACATCTTTTCATATGTCTGTTGGCCATCTGTTGGTCTTTTTTGGAAAAATATTTATGTTGTCTGCCCATTTTTTCATTGGATTATTTGTTTTTTGAGTGTTCAGTTTGATAAGCTCTTTATAGATTTTGGATACTAACCCTTTATCAGATATGTCATTTGCAAATATCTTCTCTTATTCTGTAGGTTGTCTTTTAGTTTGTTGATTGTTTCTTTCATTACACAGAAGGTTTTTCTCTTGGTGAAGTCCCAATGGTTCATTTTTGATTTTGTACCCTTGCCTCTGGAGATGAGTCTCGTAAGAAGTTGCAGTGGCCGAACACTGCCTGTGTTCTCTTCTAGGATTTTGATGGTTTCCTGTCTACATTTAGGTCTTTCATCCATTTTGAGTTTTTTTTTTTTTTTTTTTTTTTTTGTGTGTGTGTGTGTGTATGGTGTAAGAAAGTGATCCGGTTTCATTATTCTGCAGTTGTCCAGTTTTCCCGATACCATTTGTTGAAGAGAGTTTTTTCCAATGAATATTCTTTCCTGCTTTGTCAAAGATTAGTTGACCATATAGTTGTTGGTCCATTTCTGGTTTTTTTTTTAATTTTTATTTATTTATGATAGTCACAGAGAGACAGAGAGGCAGAGACACAGGCAGAGGGAGAAGCAGGCTCCATGCACCGGAAGCCCAATGTGGGATTCGATCCCGGGTCTCCAGGATCGCGCCCTGGGCCAAAGGCAGGCGCCAAACCGCTGCGCCACCCAGGGATCCCCATTTCTGTTTTTTAAAATTCTGTTCCATTGATCTGTGCAGGACATAATTGAAGATCAAAGCAAAACAGAGTACTATTTTTTATGATTAGTATTTATTAACTTTTTATAATGTGGTAAGCACTATGCTAGATTATCTCCTGTAATTCAGTCTTCAGCAACAGCCTTATGATAATGATTTTTATTTTGAAGATAGACTAGGGCATATTTATTTAAGAAATTCGCTCAAGGCAGTAGGGGAAAAAACCCCTTTTTGGAACATAGTATTCCAAGGGTTAGGATAGCCTTAACTATAAATACCTTTCAGAAATGTTTAGACAATTTAAGAGCCTATAACAGGTTGTTAAATAATTTAAGTATGTCAGGAGGAGGGGTGAAAGGAGTGTTCTTAACTCTAACTAGTCTCTCCCACATTTATTGGCAACTCAGCTTAGGCTACATCATTTATGACACTTATCAGTGTGTGTAGTACAGCAATGATTCCTTATCAAGAAAAAGGGAAAACCTTTTGTGGTAAATTGTGATAGTGTTTCATTATTTCATTCTCATGAAAAATTTATATTTAAATTGTATCATTAACTCAATTCTTTTGACAAAAATGGACAAAATGAATTTTTATTTATATTATCAAGATTAGGATTATTTGGGTCAACATTCCCCCCACCCCAGAGTATTCTGCAGAGCTTGTATTATAAATGTACAACATGAAAAAAAGGATTTTTTAATGGTTAGTGCTGCATATAGAAATTCTCTGAATATTTTTGATGCACATAAGCACATTAAAGTTGGTGAGAAATATTGATGTAACGAAATGCATTTAATTTTGCTTAATTCAGAGTTTCCCCAATTTTTTAACCTTAGGACTCTTTTTTTTTTAAAGATTTTATTTATTCATCATAGACATAGAGAGAGAGAGAGGCAGAGACACAGGCAGAGGGAGAAGCAGGCTCCATGCTGGGAGCCCAATGTGGGACTCGATCCCAGGACTCCAGGATCAGGCCCTGGGCCAAAGGCAGGCGCTAAACCGCCGAGCCACCCAGGGATCCCAGGACTCTTTTATAATATGTTAATCCTGGAGCTTTCTCAGACCATACTTTGGGAATTAGTGATTTAGAATATTCCTTTTTCCTTTCTTTCTTTTTTTTAAAAGTAGGTTTAACATCCAGTGTGGAGCCCAGTGCAGGGCCTGAACCTGAGATCAACACCTGAGTTGAGATCAAGAGTCAGATGTTTAACCAACTAAGCCACCCAGGCAGTCCAAAGCATATTTATAATAGTATTTATGGTTATATTAAATTTCCATTTGAATTAAAAATTATAGAGGAGAAACGTGAGTGCCCTTATAGTCTATCTTATTGATGTAGATTAGAGTCTTTCCTACAGTACAATGTGCAATACATAACTGTCTAACAGTAATAACAGTCTCAGTTCTAAGAGATGATGAACCTGACTTTGGACAGTTCTAATTGTTAGAGATATTTTTCTTTAGCTTAAACAGAGCTTAAAGATGTCTTTCTGCTGTTTCCATTTACTGCTTCTCGTTTTGCTTTCTTGAGCAACATAGAACCAAAGTAATAAGAACAGACATTTTTCAAGTAACTGATGTTTATCCTTAGGACTTATGTCTTCTCTTACCTAGGCTAAAAATTTCTTGACCCTGGAATATTCCTAATATGACAGTTTTAGACAATTCTGAATACTTTTGAATTTCCATACCTTGTATGATTTTCAGTTTCCTGCTGAAATTTTCAATTTTGATATCGAGGCACTTAAAACATGGTAAACACATTTATTTTAGTTAAAATTTGGAAACTTAAGTGTCTGGACTCACTGTTTTTTTGCTAATAGTGTCTTGTCTTTTCATGTGAATGGCTATTTTTGTGTCCTAAACATTACCTTTTCTGGAACTCATATCAAGAAATTCCTTTCTGTTTTGTTAGCTCTTAGATGTTTTTAAGACAAAATATTTTACATTTCATCAATCGTAGTTTTCTTAAGCAAGAGGATTGGACTAAATTATTAATTTGCCAATATAAGAAAGAGAAGTCCCTAAACTTGTCTAGGTAAATCCTTTTCTATTCATATTCTAGATTATAGGTAATTCCCATAAAATATTGAAATCAAAACATCATGAAATATAAACAAAATCTCTGATGTGTACATTCCATAATATACTCAATTAGCTGTTTGATTTAATGTCTAACATTATCTTACCTTATTGTGATAGCCTTGTCATGCTGTTTGTTCATACTGATTTTGTGAGCAGTTAAAACCTCCAAGTCTCTAACTCAAAACTACTCAATTCAGATCTTCCTCTGATAGTAGTTTTATTTTTTTTTATATGTAAAGTTAGCTGTTAAACTTATATTCATTAAATTTTATCCTGTTAATTCTGGTTTTTGTTATAGTCCATTCAGATCTTTTTGATTTTGATTTTGTCTTTACCTCCTAACCTGGTATCATTTTCAGATTTTTCAAAAACAAGTTATTCATGAAAAACTGTTTAATGACATGGAAAACAATAATGTACTTTCCTTGCAGATAACATCAAACATTAACACATTTTGAGTCAAGTCATTGAGCTTCAAACTTGCTTTATTAGGCTACTGTATAAACCATGTTCTTTATTTTATTATTAAGCACTTTCTTAAAGAAGGGCCTTGCTGAAATCAAGATGTATTATCTGTGGCATTGTGGATTTATCTGTCTAGTAACACCAGTTATAAAGGGTATGAGGTTAGCTTGGCATGACTTACTTTTAATAACCCTGTAGGAGTTCCAAGTGACTATTGCTTGCTTGCTTTCATTCATTTTCTTTCTATGTCTTTTTTTGACATTCATTTTTTAATCACTCACAATCTGCATACTTATGGCTGTAAATCATTAGTCTCCTGGGATCTTCTTGCCCTTAAAATTCAGCTATAATTGGCTTGAACCCTAATTCTATGTCCTATCAACTATAATGTTCTCCCCAAGATTTCTGCAAATTCTCTGGGGTTCATATTCTCAGAGCCATCTCTGCTTCCAAGAATTTGCTTTCACTGGATTACTTTAGTTTATGAATGGTCTTTCTATCCTTACTTTATAGTATGTTAATCTATAATTGGAAATTGACCTTTTCCCCCTTGATTTTGACATACACACGTGAACACACACACACACACACACACACACACACACACAGTCCAAAACTCCCAGGCCAGG